GACTACTACTACTACTACTACTACTACTACTACTACTACTACTACTACTACTACTACTACTACTACTACTACTACTACTACTACTACTACTTTTGTACCACTACTCATTTGAACATTATTCCTATTCATTCATTAAACAATTGATACAAAGTTTATATCTGTGCTTTCCAGGCAAAGTCAGAGTGCAACACACGCAATACACATTAACACAATTAAGTCTTCTCGAGTGGATCTTTTGAACTAAAATTTGTTGTTGTTTTTTTTTTTAAATCGCTGGCAATGTCTGACTTCTTCTTTCCCATTGAACATGTGTCGTCCTTTTCTCCCCTTCTTCTTTTGTTGTTGTTTGTTACTCTCTTGTAACACCTCTAATCTTCCGGCGCTCATATGATCTTATGCAGTTGCGAGTACCGTAAAACCTCTACTAAAACCAAACTTACTTCTGCTTGACCGCCACCCCGTCCCAAGTCCAACGGATGCCATCTGTGCCCAGGAGTGGGTATAAGACGTGTTTGCGTCGACCAGCTGCTTCCGGGTCAAAGGTTCCGGGGTCGACATTAACCAGTCTTTGCCAGGCCTTATGGGCAGCTGTCACTTCCTGCGGCCGATGGTAGTATTTGCTTATCTCTCTGCGAAGTGGGAAATGTGAGATGGTATAGGTTTAACGGCCCTATCAACACTGTGAGGTCATTAAGAGGGGAGACCTCCGAGTTTAACGTCCATCTCCAAAAAGACCGAGCCCATAGAAAAATCGTGTATAGTGCCCTTCCCAAGGTCACAACGTCTGACAGGGCTGAGATTCGAGCCTCCGAACCTACAATATTACAATACAAGCCTGCTATCCACTCATCTCTCTGCGTCAGGGAGAAGGAAATTTTGACTTATTCTTCAAGCTGTCTGCTTCTCTCTTACCTTTTGGGATGAATAATAATATTAAAATTCAAACAAAAAAAAAGAAACCAACAAAAATCCTATTCGACTTTAAAACACACAATCAACGTAACAAAACATTCACCTATTAAGTTATTCTCTAGTTTCCCTATCAGCTTATATTTGTTGACAAGTTCACATATTTTATCTGTTTTTTGACATAAAAAAATGAAATAGATAAATGAAAAAAAATTCACACAATGATGATATGAAAGGGACAAATAAATTAATACTCGGTGAAACATTCAGTAGTTCAAAAGAGGCCTTTTTATGCACAAGTTGGCCTTACCAGTGAGACTTTCAAACAGCATACATGTAATAAAGAAAAGCAAGAGACAACGTGTCTCTCCACCCTATTCTGTGTTAAGAACTCAAAATGAGAAAAAGCCCGTGGTGGGGAGTTAAAGTTGAAAGATTGAAAGAATTAACAAAAAGGTCCCTTCAAAAAACGAAAGCCAAGCAAACAAAAAAGAGGAGGGGGGGGGGATCTTCTTTCTTTCAAACAAAACGTTTCTGATTGATAGAGATTTTTCAACTCATTGCAAAAAAATGCACCGTCACAACGAAAACGAAAGCAACAACTACAATGATAATAATAACAACAACAACAACAACAACAACAACAACAACAACAACAACAACAACAACAAAAAGGCAATAGCGCTTACAAATTGGGATTACTGGGATCATCCCCTTTGTGTATGTATTCCATATATAGCAGAAAAGCAAAATAGAGATTATTATTACTGTTTCCTTTTCTCCCCTAAATCTGTCCGCCACACACACAAGCACAACAACAACAACAACAACAACAACAACAACAACAACAACAACAAAACAACAAAAACAACATCATCATCATCATCATCAACAACAACAACAACAACAACAACAACAACAACAACAACAACAACAACAACAACAACAACAACAACAACGACTACAGCAACAACAGCAACAAAAAGGAATGCTAACCTGCCCGTTGTCGTAACGTCAAGCGAGCACAACGGTTTTTCAGAGGGCGGGAAAGCAGAGGAGGTTGCCAGCGCAAAGTCGTTTTTGGAGCAGGTTGTGCTATGTCTGCTGTGTTCTTCGCTTAAGCGTGCCGCCATGTCGTCCATTGACATTCTCTGGTGAAAATCACAGGAACCAGACAGACAAGAAAGAAAATATATTATCGCAACGTCTGAAAAGTACCGTACTGTACGGTATGATAGGGTACAGTACAGTATGGTATGGTGTCATTTCAACTAGGTTCATCAAAGTTCATTTGCAATCGGACTTCAAGTTTTGAAGACTTTGAAATTGTGTAAACAACACGGCATGAAAAGAACAGAAAAGAAAACAAAAACAACAAAATCGTTCCATTCGGGCTTCGAAAAATGTCACCCGCACTACAAATTACTGGATAAACGGCACACATCCCTTGCGCATGGTTTGTTTTAGTGTCTTCAGTTTTTTTTGTAGGTGTTTTTACACCCCATGGACGCGAGTGTACTGCATGCGACGCAAAAGCGGTCAATACCAGGGAACACAAGCTAAATTAATATCATTACCTTGAAAAGTGGGGGTAGTGCAGAGGTGGGGTCGGTGGGTATCCTGTTGAGTGTGTGCGTGTGTGTGTGTGTGTATGTGTATGTGTGTGTGTGTGTGTGTGTGTGTGTGTGTGTGTGTGTGTGTGTGTGTGTAAGAACAAAGACCTTTGATATCACTAATCGGGACGGCTTTTGAAACATCCTAAGGGAGGTAGAATCTACGGTTGCTCTCCGAAGTTTATTGCTATGGTGCGCCAATTTTATGACGGCATAAAGGACATGAACGGATAGAATACATGAACATATGAAAAATATTTTTCACAATTTGCCAAAACAACCGGGAGACATTGAAGTTTTTAGTAAGAGTTTTACGGCAATCGCAACTACATAAGGTCATAATATGAGGGCGCGAAAAACATTTGGTTCTATTCGCAATAGTTCACTGCCCAGCCCGATTCTGGTCAACACCTCTACTAAAATGCTAAAATTCTACACATATGTAAATAAATGCTTAATTTAAAATAATTTTTTTAAAATATGTAAAATTTTAAATCATGTAAATCACAATTTTCCGTAAAGGCCAATAGCCTTTATATTTTCAAGGATTCTGTTGGGATGAAAGACGGAAAGCAGGTCTTGCAATTTTTTGCTTCTAAAACATTTCCTTCGGGTCTTTCCGAAGTCTAGACATTCTGTTAAAATGTATCTACTTCTAAAATTTGTGTTGCACCCGACCCAAAACGGCTTTTCTTCTCCCTAAAGGAGGTATTTGTGTGGCAGGGCAGTGTGTCCGATGCGTAATCGAGTAAAAATGACATCACATCTTCTGGAGTGGCCCGAAGGTTTTCGAGGACCCAGTTTGGGCTTGATGTTGTGTAATTAATTATTTTCTTGTTTTCTCCAATATTTTCCCACAGACTGGAGGTGTTGTTGTTTTTTTTTAGTATACTTTTAAAGTTAGTCTGTGGGAGAGTATTCATCGTTGATACCAACAGATGGGACAAGGATTCCTTCGCCAGGAGGTCCACTTACTCGTTTCCTCGAATGCCCACATATCTAGGTAACCATACGAATACGGCATTTTTCCAGTTTTTAGCCAAAGCGTTTATTTTTTGTTGTAACCTAACTGTTTTTAAGTGTAAGAGTGTGTAGTTTCTGTAAGTGAGGTGATGCAAGACAGAGAGTCAGACAGAATAAGGAAAGATTTGTTAGGAAAATGTTCTACGCAGTCCAGTGCCATGTCAATGGCAGTGGCCTCCGCAGAGAAAATGGAGGCATCGGGATGGAGAATCCTCTGGAGTCCGTTTAGAGCCATCTGTGACAATTAGCTCCGTACCGGGGTATTTTCTATATGTATATGTTTTTTGTATTCTGCTTTAAATATTTTCCTGTTTGTGCTTGCTTTGGTGTGTGTGGTCAGCTGTAAGTCTATTTTTTCCTTGGTGAGGTGCCACAGTGGGATTTAGGGGAAAAGAAATTGTTGGAAATCTTGTTTGGAAAAGTGTATGTTTTTAAGGTCCTCAAGGACTCTAAGGCCGAAGGGTTTGATGAGGCTTTCGTAATTTTGGAATTTATTTACGGTGTCTGGGCTTGTTCTGAAAATACAGTCGCGTGCTGGGTTCTTTGAAGTTGAGCTTAGTTTAATTGCGTATTGTAGTGAGAGTTGTGTGCGTCTGAGTGTGAGTGATGGTATGTTTGCCTCGGCCTGGAGACTCTCCACTGGAGAAGTGCGGAAAGCCACCGGGGCGAGGCGGAGTCCCTGGTTTTGTACTGGATCTAGCATCTTCAGGACGTGGGGTTTTGACGATCCATAGACCTGACAGCCGTAGTCAAGCCTGGATCGGACAAGGGAAATGTATAGTTGGAGAAGGTGTTTTGAGTCCCCGCCCCACTCCGGATGCGATAAAATTTTCGAAGCGTTTAACGCTTTCTGGCACCTCACACGGAGGTCTTTTATGTGTGGAATGAATGTGGGTTTCTTGTCAAATATAATGCAGTAATGCAGAGGAAACGAGCCTGGTCCTGGACGTGAATCCTTTCCCGGTATAGCGTCAAATTCGATTGCAGCACACGTCTTCCTGATTAGCAGACATGTACTGCAACCGTCTTTGACGGGGAAAACTTGAAGCCATTACTATTAGCCCAATTTTCAAGCCTGTTGAGCTGCATTTCCCGCTGTATTTCCATAGATCTCAGTTGAGAGTTTTTCGAACGGCAGCATATCAAGAAGTCGTCAACGTACGACGAGCTGTCTATACTATTTTGGGGGGATTTAACGATGGAATCTATTTTGAATTCGAATATGAGAGAAGACAGGACGTTTCCCTGGGGGTCAACTTCCTCCTGTTGGTGGAGGTCTGAAAGGGAGGATCCAACACGAACCTGGAAGGAACGCTTCTTCAGGAAATTGTCAATGAAGGCCAGGACCGAGTATGCCGAGAGCGTGCAGGTATCTGAGAATGCTGTACTTCCAGGTTGTGTCAAAGGCTTTTTCTAGGTAAAAAAAAAAAGATGGCGATTATGTGGCCTCCTTCGGCAAACGTCTAGCGTATAAAGGTCTCCAGGCGGATCAGGTGATCCAGAGTAGCTCGTGCTTTCCTGAATCCGCACTGGAGACCGCATAGTGAGCCTGTCGTCTCCAGAAACCACATGAGTCGCCTGAGAATAATTTTTTCTATAGGTTGGCACAGGCAGCTAGTCTGTGCTATTGGTCTGTAATTGAATGGCAGAGTGTGGTCTTTGTATGGTTTGGGTATTTGAATGACAGGGGCGAGACGCCAAACTCCGGAAAGGAGTGCGACCGCCACATGTCGTTGCATATGTCTAGGGGGAGTGTACGTGTTTCTGTGAATAAATGTCTAATTATCTGGCTGTATTGCCCAGGTCAGAGATGCACGATGTTAGTCTGTCTAATGTGAAGTCTGCGTTGTTGGTTTCAGTGTTGTTTGAGTGGAAGCTTAGGTGTTGTTGTTTCTGTTAGTTTTTGATGATTTGGAAGGTAGTGTTGTAGTTTGCTCTGGGTGAGTTTTTGGAAAGAGATGTAGCTATTGTATTTGCGATGTCTACCTGTGGTTCAGCTGTGGTTCTATCCTGCCCCTGAACGTGCCGGATGGTGTCTGTGCATCTATCCAAATTTGTTAAAAGTGATTTTATAAAGATGGTTGAGTGGTGTCTGGCTGTTAATTTTGGAGATATATTTTCTGAATTGTTGTCTTTTGTTATAACTGTTAAGTAATTAATCTTGTTTTCTGTGGTAATGTTGTCGACGGCTCTTCGATATGCTGCCTTCATTTTCTTTACTGCATCATCACATTCCCCAGAGAACCAGATCTTGTTCTTCCGGGGTTTTGGAGATGTTTTTGGTATGTGTTTGTGGCATATTTCTCGAAGCGTTTCGTGGACTTTTTTGTAGTTGAGGTCGAAAGTGGGATTCAGAATCTGGGAACATTCAGTGGCGAATCCGTCCCAGAGTGCTTTTTTAAAGTTGAAGCGTTTTGGGATCGGGTTGTTTTCGAGGCTATAGTTTTTAAGAAGAATTGGGAAATGGTCCGTACGGTCTTCCAGCACAGACCACTCAAGATCTGGGACTAGGTCGGGGGTACAAAAGATGAGGTCAAGGGATGAAGTGCCAAAAGTGAATCTGTTTCTGTTAGTGGGGGACCTACCATTTAAGAGGCAGATGTTATTTTGGAATAAGAAATCTTCTACTATTTTTCCTTTCTGGTCTGTGGGTTTGTCTCCCCAATGGGGACTAAAGGCATTAAAGTCATAGCAAAATAAAGGGCTTTGGGAGCTGGAGCTTTAAATCGTTTATGTAAGTTATTTTGAGGGAGTAATTTGGTGGGATATAGACAGAGCAGATCGTGTTTGGTATGTGCAGGGTGACCCGTACGGCAATAGCCTGGAGGGTCGTCCTAAGATGTAGGGAGTGTGTTGTTGTCGGTGTAGATGGTTGTTCCACCGGAAGCGATCTGGTTATTCGTGTGAATGTGATGATACGCAGTAAATTAAATCCTCAAAAGTCTAGCATTGAAGCCGAGGTGAACTTTGTTTCCTGTATACAGGCCACAAGTGGGCTCAGTGTGACCTTTAAGTGTTGGAATTCTGCAATGGAAGGTCGGATTCCGCCGGCATTCCATTGCAGACTGCAATTATGACTTTTTTGAGCACAAAGGACCCGGCTTCGAAACATTCTTCCTTGCGGGGGAGGCAGAAGTTTTTCTAGGTAGCCGTTCTGGATAGGACGGCGGCCTAGTTGGGGATTAGGAGGAGTAATGTGCAAACAAGAAATGACAAAAAAGCCTGAAGAATAATATAATGAGCCTACCCTTAAGCTTGGAAGTTTTGGATGGAATACTCCCTGCTTAACTCCTGCCAGCTTTGCTCGCCTGTAGCATGGGTCCCGTTGAATGTAGTAAGCGTCCTCGGTGGAGTGAAAGTCGACCCCCCTGAACAGCTTTCGTCGTAGTTCTTCGGTTAGGGGATACTTTGAACTTTCCATGACTTGGCCTAATGGGATACTCCGAAGCTAAATGAAGTTTCTCCTTCGGGCCGGATCTCTGCTCGTAAATGTTTCCTATAGACATAGTATATTTTCTTGAGCATGACCCAAAAAAAAAACCCATCCCCGAAAACAAAACAAAAGCAAAGCAAAAACAAACCTCTGGATCACCTTTCTGATGTAGTTGCTCAAAACTTTTGACTGTTTAACCCTTCAAAATCCAGCCAAGATTGTCTCGGGGATGTTTGACATAATTGTGAAGTTAGCCGGGGATTCGGAAATATAAACCCCTCCCCTCCATCAACTCTCTCCCCCCTCCCCTCTCTCTCTCTCTCTCT